TTTACATGCGTCGGGTGAAAGACCGTGACCTTTTCCTGGCCAAGGCTTGCGCCTTTGGCCACCTGCTGCAAAGTGCTGAGGTAGAGGAGCTCAGAGGTTTCACGGTTGCATCTCTCTTTAGAAGCCTGCTAGCCTGTGATCGAAAAACTGTTGTTGTGAATTGGCTGCAGGCCGAAGTTTCGAAGCGTGTGTCTCAGGAGGCGGCTGAGGGGCGCCAGAAATGGAAGTCGTGGGCGCAGTCGTCCGTCGTCGGAGGGGGGCGGGTCGCTCACAGGTTTTCGAAGGGCCCCTCGGCGCCTCCCCAGCCCGTTTTGGCTGAAGATGATGAAGGAGAGACGTTCCCCCTAGTAGGTGATGCCGCACTGCAGCGGACCTTACAAGAGTGGTTGCCGATCTGGTGCAAAGATAATCGAGCTGGCGAGCTTCCGCCTTGGGACTGGAGGTGTGAAGATAGCTTGCCGCCGATAACCTCGGAGGAGGTCCTTGCGGCTGCCAAGTCGTTTCCCCCAGGCACGGGCCTAGGGTGGGATTCTTTTCACCCCCAGCTCCTCCTGCAGGTCTCCCCCGCGCTCGTCCAGGCTTTCGCCGATATCCTCACGGCCTGGGAACGGGACCCCTCGGTGGGCCCGATGTGGCTCGTCGTGATCGTGTTTCTTGCGAAACCGACGGGGGGGGTTAGGCCTATAGGCCTCCTTCCCCTCTGGGCCCGAGTGTGGAGCAGGATTCGGCATGCCAGATGCGCGGCTTGGGAAAGGGAGCTGGACGCGCCCTTTTTCTGGGGTATGAGCACGTCCACTGCATGCGACAAGAGCGCATGGGTTCACAATGCTATGGCTGCATTTGCTCGGGAGACTCGGGGTTTAGTTTCGGGTACGTTGTTTCTGGACCTTCGCAAATTCTACGAGCATATCAGCCACGCAGAATTACTTGCGGCAGCTGAGCAGGTGGCCTTTCCGAAGGCCCTCTTGAGGGCCTATTGCACGGTTTACCGATCCCCGAGGCGGGTGTCTTGGCAGGGGGCGATTTCCAGAATCGTCTCGCCGAATGGCTCCGTTATTGCCGGCTGTTCGGGGGCCACCTCGCTCGCTCGCCTGTTGCTCGTGCCGGCGCTGCGCAGAGTGGTATCGACGTGCCCCACGGTTACCCTGAAAAGCGTCATTGATGATATTTCTTTTCAGTCCATCGGAGGCCAGGCCACGGTGTGCACTGAGCTTTCGTCGGCTTTCAATCTGGTCACCCAGGACCTCCAGGCTAGGGGCCTCCCGATTGCCTGGAACAAGCTTGGGCTCTTGGCGTCGTCAGCCTCCCTGGCCAACCAGCTGGCCTCGAGCTGCCAGCTCCCTGAAGATGCCAGGTCGTCTGTCCACCGCGACCTTGGAGGGGGCGCGACGGATGGTGCAAGGCGGCGAGTGTCGACCCACCAGGCCCGTTTCCTGGATGCCCAGGCCAAGGTGGCCAAGGTCCTCAGCCTCCGTGAGGCTGGAGCCCCGACGGGTGGAATCTTTCGGGCTGGGGTCACCGCCAAGGCTCTCTGGGGGGCCAACATCCAGGGACTGCCTGATGGAAAGCTGAAGAGTTTAAGAGTTGCGGCTGTCAAAGCCGAGGGGAGGCTGCCCAAGGGATGCTCGCTCGGATTGGCTTCGATGTGCACGCGTGGGGGTTGGCCGCGAGATCCCTTGGTGCAGGTCTCAGCTGACGCGATCAAGACGTATGTTCAGATTCTAATGGATGGCAGGCTGTCAGAGCGTGTGCTTTCAGTTTTGTTTGCGAGAGCCCAGGAGGTCGCCCAGAGGCCGAAACCTTGGACCCTGGTCAAGGACCCCGTGCCCGCCCTGGTATTAACCTGCCTGAGGATCGGGTTTGTCTTCCAGGGACCTTTCTCGGTGCAGGAGGCCCTGGGACAGGTTTGGGACCTGACTCAGGTCTCGGCCGCTTTCATGGCCAGGCGTGCGCGTTTTTCGGCGCGAAGGTTTTCGGACCTGGCGGCCTTGGGCAAAATCGGACCAGGCAAGGCCTGGCGCGCAGAACTTTTTTGGCGACCGCTGAAGGAGCTGCTGCGTAGAAAGATCGACGGGGAGGGCGAGGCTGTTGGGGCGGGTGGTCCGTGGGGGGTCAGAGAGCAGCGTGCGCTCCGAGGACTCCTTATGGGTTCTCATTGGTGCCAGCACAGGCTCAGTGAGCATGATCCTGAGCTGGCGTCAGAATGCCTGGTGTGTGGTGCGCGAGGCACCTTGTTCCATCGCCACTTTCAGTGCCAGGCCAGGTCGCCTGGCGCCGCGACAACCTTCCCGTGTGTGTGTGCAGCGCGCAGCCAGCAGAGTTTCGACTTGCAGTGTTGAGCTGCAAGAGCGACTTTCCCGAGGAATCCTTCCTGGCCCGTGCCAGCTTCTGGCTAGGAGACCCTGGGATCCGCCCACGGAGTTTCGCGTTGACGGAGGCCTTGCTGGGCCGCTCATGCTTTCCAAGGGGCATGTTTTCTGTGATGGTTCAGGCCTAGATGGACTGTTCCCGTCCATGCGTGTTGCAGGATGGGGAGTCACCGTCTTCGATGAGTCACGCAGGTGTA